CCTAGCAGTAAGGCCAGGAGCCCCTAGTAGCGTCCTTGCTCCTAGTAGTGAGGCCAGGAGCCCCTAGTAGCGTCCTTGCTCCTAGTAGTAAGGCCAGGAGGGTGGAAATTGTCGTGCGCGAACATGATGTGACAGGTAACAGAACATCATCAAACACAAAGCAAATCAAACAAATTCTCTTGGTAGCTTTCGTTCTTTCATTGATTCTTCTCAGCATCTCTAAAGTTTTCTTAAGTCTCGCGGACAGAATTGAAACTCAGTCAACCCCCGCAGTGCTAGCGCGATTGTGCAGGTGCCTCGTTCTCCTCAGTGATGCTCCCAAGGCCTCCTTTCCGCATGGCCAAGCCCTGGGAAGTGCCAAGACCGAGCTGCCTTCGAGAATGGCTCCCCCCTCAAACTTTAGGCTCCTCCCAAAAATCTCCCAAAAAACCATCCAGGGCACTCCGACTAATCAGCATGGCCTCTCCATTGCATTTCTCAAAAACAGGTGTTATCTGGTTCTTGGATTTGAGACCGCCCAGGTTGAGGACTACAAAGATCCCTCAGAACCGACCAGCCTTGAGGGGGACCGGATTTGAGACGCGGCCGCCAGCACTCAATCAACCATACGAATCCATTGTATCTATCCTAAGTAAAAGTGGATGATGATGGTTATATAGTAAGGGCCCTTCTCTAAATAGTGATTTACCAACTGTTACTGGTAATAGGACAAACACCACTTGCTGAATCTGCTCAGGGAAGACTTTTGTAATGTCCATGTATGTAATGCAGACTCTTGATGAATAAAACTCCCGAATCAATCCACCTGGCTCTCAGCTGGAGCAAAGTGGAAGAACAGCACAGCTTGGCATAAAGCCCATCGCCATCGTTCGCTCCCCACAGTCGCTTGCAACTGGAACAACAGGCCCCGCACTCTCTCCACCAGCTTGTGTGCCTGGAGGCCGTGGAACCATGACTGGGCCACGGAGCAAAACACCATTTCAACACTCATGGGATCCAAAAGAAGTCAGCAGGAGCTTTGCTACGGAACAAAGAGGTCTCCTGAACACCTCCGTTCCAACCACTGCAGGTCACGGATGGCTTCTGTTTATCACCGGGCTTTTGGCCTGAAAACGATCAGGCAAGACTTGCAGAACTCCCTCGCAGCCCGCAGCTATTCAAACCTTTTCCGAAAGCCCCACAAGTTGTCAAATTCTACTCCCACCTCATTCCCCCAGCTACAGTAATTCTCCAGCTTAGCCAAAACAGTACCTCATCCCAGTATCCAAGGAAACATCATGAACTCCAGCCTCTTCCTTCCCGCCTTCATTTGCCATCCCTCCACCACCCAGAGCTCCCCAGCTGTGATGTGCTGACTCGCGCGGAAGGAGCTCGGGCCACCGAAGCCGATGAACCTGGCACGGCGGTTAAGGCGCAACTGCTCCATTGGTGTGGGGAGGGGTTCATCTCTGGCGCAAGTGACAGGGTGAAACAGAGTGAAACAGCTTCAAAACTCCCCAAACAGCCTGAGAAATTGAGCACTTTGGGATGGTTCATGGTGGTTGATGGGGAGATGAGCCAAGTATTCTAGGTCCTTTTCAGCTTAGACCATTGCTTTTTGCAACCATTGCTTTTTGTGGACTCACGGTCTACAAGCACCAATGACCCTAGATCGATCGGCCAAAGCTGACCAATCGCAGCACCAACCAATCGCAGCTGATGATCAAACCATGTCAAACCCTAACCCAACCAGCCAACGGTATTTGTGATAACTCATGTTGATCCAAAGGCACATGTTGGTCCAGGAATGCTTGATTGCTGTGTGCCAAACATGGCAAATCATTTAAGGCAAACGCGGTAGACAAAAGCTCGGTATATAATGCATGGATCGCACGCATTTGGCCTATTGAACTATTTCCAACAGCAGCCAATTGAACGACGCAGGCTCCATCCACACAGTATGTAGCAAGTGGTTGCACTATATAAATAAACGAAAGCGGATAATTATATAACTCATCCGCGCCCAATGTCATCACTTAAACCAGCTCTGCCCCCCTCAGCCAAACAGCCAAACTCACACGTCAGGTTCCCAACAACCACCTGCCAGCTCCAGGCACCCGGCGTTCAAACGTGTGAAACACCAGGCGCGGACTCCGCGCGAAAAAAGCGCCGTACGTCGCCCGGCGCACTGGTACAAGGAATCAAAGACCAAGACCGAGTCGACCAGGCGGTAGTTGTAAAGCTCCCCCACCAACTTCACCTGCCGGACCTAAGCTTGTGCCGCAACAACTGGAAGGCGCACTGGTGTTCAAGCTGACCGGAGGCGTCGAAAGCCAATGGAGGGTGTCCGAAGACTCACCCACTGTGGGGTTGGATGGGTGAAGCAAAACAACTGACATCAATGAAGGTCATCTTGCTCAACCTTGGGAGCACAATCCCTCTTCAAAACGGTGTTTTGTAATGTGTTCTTACTTATGTGATTCTGTGATCTTATGTTTTGGCTATATCAACCTTACAAAACCGTCTGCCTATATACCGCAGTGGCAATACCGTGCATTCCTCCACGTACCCCTACCCCTCGCGGGTCCATCAACCCCCCGGGGTTCCCAGGCCCTCAATGGCATCTCCCGGAAGTCGTTCCGCTCGAGGGTCACCTCGGGGGGAACTGACTCCACTTGGCCCGGCATGCCCGGCATGAACAGAAAGGGCCAATGCCAAAACAAAATCTGGACATCTGGGGTGGGATCTGGAGATCCAGATTGGCTAGGTAGTTGGCTAGAGGTCTTGACATTAAGGCCATGAATTCTGGACATCTGTGGAGGGGGTAGGAAGTTGGGTGAGCTTGGATGCTGAACATCGAGTTCATCCGATCGATCGGAAGCGTTCGATTCTCGGTCCGTCTTGCCGTGTCCTGCCTGGATGTTCTCCAGCAACGAGTCGATGACATCGATCACAAAGGCCTTCACATCAAATCACACCCTGTTGGGCCACCACACCGTCGCCATACAGGAAAAAAACATCCAAACCGATGAAACACGACAGTGTCGATCCACCGATCCACTCAAAAAAAGAGTTCTGAGATGATGAGCCTGTGCTGAAACTCTTGTTATCTCTTGTTTGCTGGCTTTTGGGATCCCCTAGCTTCCCAGTTGCTCCGCAGCCACACGTATTTCTACAACCACTCCATCGTCTTCCACGAAACGCCGCTTGATGTCAGACTCCCTTTGGAGTGGTGGTGCTGCAGTTCCACCGTTCAGGCATGACCCTACTTTTGGGATCCCCAGGTTATCCTGGTTGCAAACTGCAAACAGAATTGACCCACATCCCAAAGGTCGGGTGCCCCGCGCCCCTGTGCGCAACAAAAACCGAAAGACCGCCATCGGCATCGGCGGTGTCTGTGCTCAGTCCGCTGGGCCCCGGGCATCGCGGTACTTGGCCAGGCCACTTAGCAAGGAGGCCACGCAGGAGAGGTGCTCGTAGTTCGCATGGTGGTTCAAGTCCTGGACGGAAAGAATGGGTGGGAGTGAGTTCGTAGTGAGTCGCAGCATCCGGCGGCGAGTTCGTTTCAAGAATCTTGCCACCAAAAACGACACCAGTGAACATGCTAGTTGCTGCTAGTTTAATGTTCCATGGCGTTTTGACGGGTGCTCAAACGGGCATCTCTCACTGCTCAGACTAGATCAGACTAATTTACTATATAATGGATGATCATTGTTAATTAGTCGGGACTAGTAGATTCCCAACAAAGACACTGGTAGAGTTTCAAGATTCAATTGCTGACTCGGCCCATTCCGGCTTGACTCGCCTTGACCCCAGGGTTCTTCCGATCTTCCGCTTGACCCTGTTTCCAAAAAAAATGACTCCCCACGGGTGTGAAGTTCATCCACACCGAAACACATGAACGGACGAAGCAAACCAAACCCTGCTATGGAGGTGACGAGGTGTGATGGTTTTCGCGGTGTTTTCGGGTTGATGCGTGAACACCATGTCTCGCTGCTCCAGCAAGCATTTCTTCAGCCATCCCACTGCGGGGCCTGGCAAGGGGAGTCATGAAGACTCTGGCATATGTCATGCAAAGAAGCGATCTGGGAGGATGGATCTGAGATGATTTCGGGTATATACTCTGTTAACTCCTGATGATAGCGGCTGAGAGACATGAAACCAACCTTCTTGAAAAAGAACATCAGTTTATCAAGCTCTACTATGCTGTACTGGACAAAGGCCGTAAGTTACGTACAAAAACCTGAAGAGTTTCTTCACTCGACTGGCCCTCACCAGCAGTCCAGAAACATGCCAAAGGCTCCGTCCCAGGGCAATCTCCGCACTAGCCTCAAGAATTGGTCCTGTCCAGACCGCATGCCGAATATGGATTCAACAACATATGTACTACCATTGCGCATGCATAAAGTACGCAAACAAATTCATCGCGCATGCATAAACGTGTTCACTATATATTCACCAAATGCCACATACCTTTCTGCCCTCAGCACTTCCCAAAGGAACACTAAAGTCTTTGCAGGATCTTGCCACCGCTTTGTGTCCTCATACTCTAGCAGCTAGTCTGGCTAGCTACTTTTGAGTGGGCTGCTGCAATGACACTTTCCACCACCAACCTGCGGTAGAACATTGTGGGTAGCGTGTTCGCTTTTTTTCCTCTAGCTTCCGACACCATTCTCAGCTCCGTGACTCTATTCGTAGGGCTCTTGGCAGCCCAAACCCTTTCAATAATTACATTTCACCAAAGGATGCAGAATTCAGTCCAAGTTTGGGTCACAATGGAAACACAACCAATGACAGGACATCTTGAAACGTGGTCCTCATCATCGTCCTTGTACAAACCTCAGTGGGGGCTGGCATGAGGCCGGTGCAAGTGCTGCGGTGCGGTAAATGAACGCTGCAAGCTATACATCCCCTTCCCTCTTTCTACAACTGCCTACTGTAATTATATGAGTTGTAATATTCTGAGTCCTGTGCAAGGCACTTCCACCCAACAAACTAGTTTGTGAATTCCAAATTGGTCCACAATAGCATACGATAGCATACAATATTTACTCCAGCACAAAAAGGCCAAGCCAGTGTGGCTCGGATTTTGCCCTTGCCTTTGCTTGGAAACTGCCAAGTGATAGGTCCTCTACCAACTGATAAGCCTCCAGATAGCTAAGATCCCCCAGCGTTCAAAGACCAAATGCTCCACAAAGAGTTCCAGCGGATCCTCACGAACGAAATGTTGTTTTGCAAATTGGCACTGTCACTGCTGGTTGTTGGGATGGCTCCTGCATAAGCCCACCAGGAGAAAAATTTCACACCTAGTGTTGTTTCTTGTGGGCTCGTGTTTTGGCCCCAGGCCAAAATGCTGTTAGGAGATTGGTTCCTCTGGGAATGTAGAAGGAAGGCAGCAAACGTCGCCTTCCTTCCAGGAGGAATTCAGGAGTCTGCAGACCTCCGCCTGCAATCGAATGCCTGTGAACATTTCAGCTATCAGCTATCCGCAGACCAATTCCAAGGAAACATGCCAAATCCATGGACAAAATCGTCTCTAGTGCTTCCCAATACAGAGCAAACACGATGCCTTGGTCACCGCTGGTCACCGCATGCTGCTAGCAATCGGATATATTCGTCACCACATGTCACCAACTTAAGATCCAAGAAACCTTCCGATTGTAACCTTGGGCAAGTTGGACGCCTTTAGGCCTTTAGGCTCGAGCTAGGCGTGCATTGAAATGGGAAGAAGCCCTTGCAACCAGTGGATATTCTCCCGCGGTGTGCCTCTCTGGTGTTCAGTAACAAGCACATCTATATCAACAACAAGCACATCTATACTGCGATGAACTAGAGGTTCAACGGAATAGATAAATACCAAGAATGTCTGATAAAACAACTCCTGTGAGTACCGTACCTGACGCGTGCTCTCGGCCCTAGGCTTGGCCCTTGGCCCAGCCCCGTCCTTGCTCTTCTTCTGCTTCCGCTTGCCTTCAGGCCTAAGGCAGGCCGCTCCTTCCGAGAACCAAACTCTCCGTGCCGGAAGGAGCACTGGAAAACAGGTCACTGAAGTGACAACTATCGTGTTTCACCCAGTCCTTTCCACCCATCTACAAATGCCAATCAAATCAACATGCGTAGCAGCCTGTGTAGCAGCCTGTGCGGACACTGGGCGCCACTGCGGCTTGACCTGATAGAAGGCATCCTCCAGCATAATCTCAAGCCTGGATCTTGGCTCACCGGCAGCCCGGATCTTGGCTCACCAAAAACCATCCTAAAATTAAAACAACCAACAGAGGTTGAAGAACCCTAGTTCGACTATCCCAGTTGGGTACCACGGGGGACGGGTCCTACAGCATAGAATCACTTATATAACCTCCGTTGGAAAGTGCCAGTTAAGAATTGTTTTACTTCTCCGGTGACTCATTGTGGGAGACCTTGGTGGTTGCTGATGCAAAACAATTATCAAATCCGAAAAGAGATCTCGCCCACCAAGCCGCTAGAAACAGTAGCTTACTTATAAATTGAAAGCTCTGTGGCACCCAGACCCACTCACCCTCCAAAAAAGTAACACACAAATCACAAAAAGGAATGCTCAGCCTCAGGGGCAAAGACTTTGCTTTGGTGAGGCGGAGCCTTACAATTTCGGGGCCGCTCGAGTGTCCTTCGTTCGGCGCGAAAAAAACACGGGCCACGGTGTTTTTCGGCGGTGGAAAGTCAATGTTCGGGAAAATCTGAGGAGCTTTTCTCTCATGGATCCGGCCATGGGCGGTCTTCTAATATCTACCAGCCAAATTTACACATAGCAAGGACGTACACATAGCAAGGACACTACGAACGGGGCGCTCCTGGCCGCACAACTAGGAGAAAGAAGCTACTAGTAACAAAGGGCATCGCTACTAGTTACTAGTGCCTTACTAGTAGTAACAAGAAGCTATTAGAAACAAGTGCATCGCTTCTAGTAACAAGTGCCTTGCTAGTAGTAACAAGAAGCTACTAGTAACAAAGGGCATCGCTACTAGTTACTAGTAGCAAGGACGCTACTAGATTCAGCTCCTATGACACATCATCCGAGCAGACGCACAAGATGGCAAACATCCTTCTGTATGTCTCGGAAGGGGACTTAACTTTGGAATGGCTCGTCTGCTGGCACAAAAGCAGCTAGGTAGGGACCGAATGAAACAATATCTAAGGCATCAAGAAAGACCATGGACAACAAGGCAGACAATCGTTTGCAGCAGAGAGCTGTAGCTAGCAACGAGGAACTACGAGGAGCTTTAACCAAAACATACTTACCGGTTTGCCAAACCTCGACACACTGATCCGCATTTCCGGAACCTGCGGGAAATGACACTTTTAAAGCAGGTTATGTTGATGATCTGATGTCCTAAACATACTGTTCATCAGGCCGGGAATGTACTGTATTACACCGTATCAAGATGTTGTAGATGCACGGAAAACTTTAGCGCAACTAGATTAGATTGATCAATTAGGATTTGGTCAAACGCTCTTGCTGGCAAAGTTGGTGCTGTCCTGGCACATGAAAATGTTGAGCACATCGGCTTCGTATTCGTCAAAGACTAATGCGTGTCGTTCTAAACTCAACACAGGCCCCATCAACAAGGTGTCAGTTGCGACAAACCCGCTGCGAGACTTCAGTGGCAAAACCGAAATAAATAAGGGAACATAGACCATGCACCATTCATCTAGCAAGGGGTTCAGGAACTTTGTGCAGATCCGAACGGCTCCGTGTTTGATCAGGAATATGGACAAATGCCCGGAAGCTAGTCACAGAAATCCAACGCAAAAACGCTAGTCAGGTCGCTTCCTGGCAACGCCTAAGGATGAGGTTGTCCTTTGCTGGATCCCGAAGGGGTCCAGCAACCCCTCAGCCACCCACATGCGCTCCATGAGGTTGTCTGTGCGCGTCGCCTGGTTGGGATGAGGTTGTCCCGCGTGGCATGAACGCATCCAGCTGATATGCTTATACCAGTCTTTTTCTTCATTGTTTGTTTTTCTTTTTTTGGGGGGGCCAAAGTAATCCCTCACCAACTTGAGGTTGGGAGCAGGGACAGTCTCTCAAATCTTCCTGATGATCAAATAGCCCGCAATCCTTGCGCAAATGAACCATACTAATACTAGTCGGCCGTTTGCTGCAAACAGATTCCTTCACCCGAAAAAGGCTCTTTCTAGATCACTGCTTGTCTCTGGACCTCTGGAAGGGCCTCTGGTCTCTCAGGAGCTGCTCCGGTCCCTGGGGCGTCCCGCCGTTTCTGGCTTGTACATCAAATAGCGACCGCAAGTCCTTAGACCGGTGTGGGGGCCTGTGTGTTGGGGGGGTTGTGGTAGGTTCCGCGCGCATTCTGCCGTAGCATGTGCCAAAAACGCTGGCGCTTTTTCCCGCAGAAATGATGGGTGCGGGTTGGTGGACCTGAAAATGCACAAACCCTCGTTGGTTGATGTTGGTTGACCTGCCTGGTAGTCCATTCTGTTCATGTTGATGAGGTCAGCTAAGATCACATGTTGACCCATAGCCAGATCATGTTATCGTTGGAATGTATTGGATAAA